GAGGTAATCTAAAAGTAACAGAAAGTGATCAGGTTACATTACTTTTATATTGTAATTTTTTTTGCCAGATAACAAGTCATTTACCCTCCAACCCTGTGTGTGAGATAATGCCACCGCAATTATAACATAATGAGAACATGTTTTACTGAGCACATCTTTTAGGTTCATTTGTACTGATGTTTGTTTCCCTACAATAAACTGCCAAAGCTAAACCCTTTTAAACTGCAATTCAGCATTAACTTGTTATTAATACTAATACACCACATGTTATTTATTGTAGTAAATTAGTAGATTTAACTTTAACTTATAATGTTTATATCAATATATCTTAACTCTAACTTATTATATTTGTATAAACTATTCCAACTAAATATTTATTTTACCTTTTATTTTATTTTATTCTAAAGAGAATCATTATTATATAGTTAATGTTAAATAATTTATTATTAGTCCTCTACATTACATTTGAACTATTTCGAAAGGTTTAAATGAAAAAGTAAGAAATAATTCCACCCACCGCGAAGGCATCTTAGATTCATTTCTACATTTAATGTTTATTAATATCTGTAATGAGTATTGTAGACTTGCCAGCGGCCTTTTAGGTGGAACTGATCGAGGGCTTGCCCTGGGAGGAAACACACAGATTGTTGGTTTGATTCCAGTCATTGCTGTGCAAATGTTAATATTGTGGAGTTTGTAAAACACTTCTCTCCGGGAGGCCCCTTAGTGTCCCAACACCAATTTAAAGGTTCCTGCAAACCCAGTGGTACACCAGTGAGTGGTGGGATCTGTACTTAAATCAGAATAGTCATACACTTATTATTCCATGTCAAATGTACAGTATCCTTAGCTCATGCATCACTTGCTGTTTGATGGGATGGTAGATCTTAATGTTCTTGCCTGCAGGGATTTAATGAGTTAGGGTTAGGCTCCCCTCCACTGTGGTGGGAGGATTTGGAACCAAACATCCATACGGCTCATTATTTACAGAAAGTTGGAAAAGTATAATTCAAATCTGATCTCAATGTTTCTGAGAGTGAAAGGTGAGAGATATGCAGCACTAGGGATGGGTATCGAGAACCGGTACTAAGTCAGTACCGGTACCTGATTGGACGGTATTGGTATACCGTTAAGCCGCTGGACAAACGGTGCTGCTATTGGTATATGAATTACGCTACTTTCTTAGTTTAAACAATTCTGGTTGGTTGGGAACCCTCATCCCGTGTGACGTATCCGGTTTGAGTACCACTCTGATTGGCCACTGTGAATGCCACTCGTCATCTCTCCTAACAGCGCTCTTATTATTGTGAGACTCCCGGGGGCAGACCATAGCAGGGGCAGACGCAACATCTTGCTAGAAACAGCGTCTCAAGGCTTCTTAACATTTAACAACCTATTAATTATGCATACCCACTTAACGGGAAGAAACTCAGCTAACAGACGATATTAACCATTTTACCTACACGGAACAGAAGTCCAACACCAAGAGTCTAAATCAACACTTAGCAAAACGGGCTAACGGGATAACGGCTACTTTAGACACTGGCAAAAGCGATCTTTTCCACGTCGTTTTATCTGCACAAACAACATATCACATGAAAGCTGAGATTCCACAGATTCCATTGGTATAAAACTCACTGAACTAGCAGCCAGGAAAGAGCAAGAAAACAACTTCACTTTACGTAGCCATGATGATAATGATGTCTTACCTTTGCTGTTTTGTGATCAAAAGTTGTGTTCAAGGGCATAAAAACGGTTAATCCAATGTCTCTGTGTAACTTTAAAATGATTACTGATAATCCATCATTACAGTTATAAATAATAAACGCAATAAACGGATTATAATGGTTAGCCGACCGGAGCTTCCGGTTTAGGAGGTGCGCACGCAGCGTCTCGTTTTAACTGAATAATGGTCATGTTTACATGGATTTATGAACTGCCCCTAATAACCGCCCCCCCTTCCAGAGACACACTGTCAAACACACTCATACCTGCTTGGTATGACATTGAAAAAGTTACATTAAATAATAAATTACAATAAAATGACTGTTGTTTAATCTTTACATCTTGTAATCATATCTATAATTTTGAGCACCAAATTATTGAAAAGTATCGATAAGAGTATCGAAAAATACCGGTATCGATAAGCGGTATCGGTATCAATAAAATCCTAACGATACCCATCCCTATGCAGCACAAATTCATTTTCCTCAGGAAGAGCTCTCTAGCTGTTGAATGTCACAATGCTGACAAATAATGTGATCCTTACATCATCTTCCATTCCATATTCATGTGAAAAAAGGCTGAAAGGCCACACAAAATGTGTTAGTGTGAACTCGTTGAGTTTTCATCTAGTTAAGATTCATCAGTACTGTAGGCCTTAACACCACAAGTGTATGTAGAGCTTCAGGATATCATTCTGATAGCACACGCACTGTGTTGAACTTGAAACTAATCCACTTTTCAGATTTTAGAGACATTACATTAAAATACCATTTACTATTGACGCTGGTCATATTTTATACAGTTTGCAACATAAATCATTTTTCTTTCTCAGAGGTAATCCAGAAAGGTTGCATTACCAGTAATTTGCATTATAGGACAAACAACTATCCCCCAAAACACTATTAACGTGTATACATTACTGATGCTTCCTCAAAAGCAACTTACAATAATGCAATAAACCATGAAGATACAACCTGAAAACAGAGTGCATTAGCTTTCAGTAAGACAAACCATTGAATCTGCTACTGCATTGGTTCAAAATAAACCACACCTGTCTTTGTGCTACATAGAGAAGTGAGAAGTGCTTTATTGTTATTTATTTTGTATAATTGGCTAAGGTTCGGTAAAAGCATTTGGGTGTTCAATAAGTGACGGGAGATCTGTAGACTGCTGAACTGAAAAAACTGAAACGTTGACTTTAATTAAATGTATTATGTCAACATATTTCCTACAAGTTTATTAGGTTAGTTGAAAGCAATAATATGACATTTAAAATATATATATTAGGTTCAACTTAATATTGTTGCTTATACAGTACATTTAATTAAAGTCTATGTGTGTCCTAAATCCACCTTTTTGGAGCCATGATAGCGAACAGGTGTGTGTCTGTTGAGTGTTACCTGGCTGGTTCCCACTCGCAGTGAGAGATTTGCAAGACGATTGGCTGACGGAGAGCAACGTTTTTGTGCTGGGGTTTAAGGTTTAAACATGTCCTGGATTTAGGAGAACATGCATTCGATCCTCTCAACCTGTCAGCTTTGCCTTGCTGCACCTCTCTAGGCCTATCCAGCCGTTCAAAAGCTCTGAACCAACAACCTGGGTGTCAGAGAAGGTGGATACTCAAGGGAGGACACTGAAGCTGCTAAGAAAAACTATGAAAAGGCACAGTGGATTGAGTAAGCAGGAAGGACAGAATATGCTCTGTAACACACAACCATGGTGGCCCCAAAGTGATGAATCCAGCTGTGATGGCTCTCTTCTCTGCAGGCCTTTCCCCCAGGGATTAGACTGGGTCTTGCATACAGGAGGAATCTGCACACTCAGTTTATGAAATATTCACCATCAAACAAAATCTGTACACTGGAAAACAAGGAGGCCCCAGTGGGAGTGGGTGCCCGGGCCCATCGTGTCCTGGAGGTTTCTGTTGTGTTCCCAGAGGATTCACACGCTGCTGCTCAGTTATCCAGAGTTCTGGGAAGATAATTGTTCCATTTCAGAAGTTCGTTTCTGTGCTGTCACTTATTTCTTCATGCAAAAATGTTTTTATTCGGAAGAGACATTGCTCTATGTGACAGGGGCTAAAGAGTAGTGTAGACATTTTATAAAATAAACCACACTTTTTCAGTGTTTCACAGTTTATTCTGAGCACCTAGAACAGCAAGCTTTCTAAACAGCCACTTGCTATCAACTGAATTACTGCAACAGGTGTCACAGTTCTCAAGATCCATGATATGATTTGACTGTAACTGAAGGTTAACATTTTGTTTGAATTTCTATATTAGTTCCATTTATCTCCAGCACTGACGGCGATAGAGTTGTTCGAGTCCAGATTAATTAAGATCAACATTGGTTTTATGTTATTACATAATATATGCTACACTGTGTTGTGTTAGCAAGTGTGGTTATTAACACATAATGATAAGAAATCTCAATGAAACTATTCATATCATTAAAGCCATAAATGCAGGTAACCATAACGTGGCACTGCAATGATGTGCAGTAGCTCTAAAGGCATTACAATAGCCATCAGAGGTAATTAGTAATGATTAAAAAGTGACAAATTATCAACATACATTTTTATTGTATTATAAGTTATATCATTTCAAGTTGCATGCACTTACATACTAAAAGTAAATAAAGCTACAGTAGCATCTGTATGGCAGGTAAGAACAACATACTTATTATTAAAAAAATCTATAAGTAGCAGAAATCTATAAAACATTTCGTATTATACAATGAATTAAATAAAACATATTTTAAAATGAATTAAATAAAAATAGTATACAATTTTATAATATTATATATTATAAAAACCTCAAGTGGAAACGTCTGTTAACCAACCCTGTCTCAGATGATGTCTACTAAATAGTTTTCCCAGTTGTGTTGTGGTGACAAACATAATAACTGGAACCTGTTTAGGAGTCCTTGAGAGGGCTCAGTAAAGAACAATATGAAGTGATGAAAAGCACAAGAACCTGGGTTTTAAATATGTTGAAATGACTCATTGGCTAAACATCAATCATTCAACCAGCTATTTGAAATATAAATCTGCTCTGAAAATCAGTTCCTCAGAAAAATACTATACAGGATAATAAACTATTAATTGAGGGACTCACAACTTCACTAAATAAATAAATACAATGTCTTTACGCTCCGTGAACTCAGGGTCAGACCGAGCATTGCTGTGTTTTCTTTGTGTGTGGAGGAAATGATGCTATTGCACACATGAATATGACTTTTTAAAACACTCCTCTCTCGTGTCCTTGATTCCTCAGACCTTGTTGCGGGATGGTAAGAGGGAGAGCACCGTCAGCACCCTCTACCTGTCTCCCTCCAACATCGAGTCGGGGCAGCAGATCACCTGCCGCGCCTCCAACAAAGCCGCCCCCAATGGCAAGGATGCTGCTGTCACTATCGATATTCAGCGTAAGTGAAAATCACCAAACCTCAAATGAATGCAAAAGATCAAATATGTTCTTCTGACTTAACTTACTGCTTCATTAGACACACTTAAAACAGTCTGCACACCATTCATACTCATATTCATACCTAATTGTGACACAAGGATAATGTGGCTACTGACCTGTATGGTGTTTCAAAATAGCTATAAAACAACAAAAGAAAACAGATTCACTCCCCTGCAAAATCTGCGTGTGGGAAAGCACATGAACACAATGTCAAAGATAAGTAATCCATTACAGATGTTGTGTCCTCAGCTAATGACTGTATGTATAATTTAATTAAAACATGGGCTTTGTTCCTGCCTTTTTTTATTATTTAACTCTCTTCCTGTAGTCGTAATTAAGTGTTTTTTTGAGAATTATATTCTCGATGATTGCATCCACCCCAGCATCCTCGGCTCAAACTGAAGTGACAATCTTTTTAACACAATTTTGAACTTTCCCCTGAACTCACCCCCAGTCTCCTGATTTCCACCAGCAAACCTCTCTCTCCCCTTAAAATCACAACAGCCCTGTGTGGCTATGAACTTCTATACCTTCTCATTACGCTCATGTAGCTGTACACCCACTCACCAGTTGTATGCACAACAATTAGAAACAGGCCTAGTTCAATGCTGATGTAACAAGGAACATGTGATACTCATTCATCAATTCAAGAAATACTCTAGAATCAGTCTGCATTGGCCATTTTAACACGCAAAATGTAATAAAATGGCATGTTTCCTAATGATTTCATCATGGACAGATCATGGCATCAACAAGATAACTTTTTCAATCTTAAACTGTGCTCTCCTGGAAACGTTATGGTACTCTTTCTGTCAAACACTTTGCTGTGTTTCCTGTTTCTGAAATTGCTTTTCCATAAGTAATAAGTATTTGAACACCTAGCCCATAATCTTTCAGGCAATACTCCTTTTCTTCCTGCATTATTATATTGACTATACCAAAAATAATCCCACTGTTCATCTCTGAATTAACTGAACTGCAAAAGTCTTCGATGACCCCCCAAAAACTAGTGATTTTGCCCACAAATCTACTCTCCGCTTTCAGAGCCATTTCACTCAAGCTTTAATACCTGGGCACAGTTATTCCCAAGGGTAACCAACAACCTTGTGAGCTGCCTTGAGCCATCAGCTTTCTGAGCCTCCTGGAGTTAAGTCCAGTTTATGACAGTCAGTCATTTCCATCGTACTCACCTGCACGTAAAACTCTCTAGGTGCAGTGTATCAACATCCTTATGACTTATAGTAAAACAAAGATCCCGCAAGGTTCTTTCATGGGCCCACTTTGTATCTAAGTGCTGTCTCTCGAACATCTCTTCTGCAAAAAGTATGAATCACTCTTCGCCGTGACACCAAAACGTGCTACACCTCATAAAGTACAGCTTTTTAAAACTCAGTTGTTCACAAAACGAAATGATCTAAAGTCTAACTATTGTTAACGCATTTTAAAATCTCAATCCTCTCTCGTCAGCTCTCTCTTTACCAGAACATCAGTTCCACCCTTTGCATTATTGCAGAAATCTCACCTTTCTTGATGCTGAAAATGTGGTTCACACCTTAATTACCTCTACATTGGACTACAGTATGCTTTGTTCTTCAGTCTAATGTCAGACCTTCCCGTATTTTCAAATGCACCTACACCAACATATATGAATACATGAACCTACACTGGCTCCCTTTAACTCCCACATTGAGCACAAAATCCTCCCACTAACCTAACAGGCTCACAGCTGAGCTCCATGTTATCTATATAATCTCATTCAGATCTATGACCCCCCCCTCCACTTTATTTTACCCACTCACATGTTTTCTTGGCTGATGTATTTTACATTTTTTCATTTGTTTTTGTTTCTGTTCCGGGGTCTTTGGGTCTATCATCATAATTATTACCTTTTTCATAGTGTCATCCAAACACCGAAAATAATGCACCTCTATGAATAATTGTATTGTCAGATGATATTATTTGATGGCAAAAACTATTTCCACACAATTTGGAAGTCTCAATGGATTTAATATAGGAGGCTTTTGTGCTCCTTCACATCTATTAGGTATGACTAATAAAGCATGAAATACCATTCAGAGGTGCATTTTTGTTTTGACTGATCTTTTCTTCCCATCCATGAATTCATTTTCAGTTTTGCCGTCCAAAATGAATGGAGCACATAAGGTAAAGCTTGGACAGACTGATATGTGGGAGCTAACTGGTTATTGTAAGAATGGACCTTAATCCTTCTATCATGAAAAATAATGGCAGCACCATTTCTCATTGAATGTCCAAAGTTAAAAAACAAGTGGTTGATACTGGAACCTCCACTTGTGTTATTGGACGGCCTGGTAATAGAGCTTCCTGGCATCCAGTGACAGAGCTCCAACACCTCCAGTTACTGAAATGTGCCTTCAGATTAAAGGCAATGTAGTCTGCTTCCACAGAAAGGGGGGGCGCCAAGATACTTTTTTATCTTAGAGCAGAACAGGTAAAACTCACGTGCAGGACACCAAAGTCACTTTAAAGAAAATTCCTTTATTATAATTGATCCAGGTATTACCGGAATTAAAGAAAAGAGGATGACAAAAAAGAATGGTCCAAGGTCAGATTCAAACCTGAGTCCTCCACACGGGGACTGAACCTCCGTACATGCAGGCTCTACCAGGTGAGCTACAGCGCAGTCTGTAAAGAGATTTTTCCATTTGATTTTGGAATATTGCAGAATATAAGACCTACAGTATGGTTCAGCAGGATCTCCCTATAACACCACTATTATAATATTTTAAGCATTAATTCAATCACCAGCAGTAAAAAGCTTTATAAACAATTACACATACAAGTTTTAAACATTCACAAATGGGTATTTACTGATGTATTTTATGTCCTATGACAAACGTGCAAATCTTGTAAGAAATCTTATTTCAGGCATCTAACTCAATAAAACCTTTGACTCGAGACAATAGAAACTGGCAGTGCTAACAAGCTGACGCATTCCGGATACATGACTCATTCCTGCAACACTCTATTAGTCTTCCATACTCGGCTTAATCATTCCCAATGCAGTATTTGAGCCAAATGCTTAAACATGCACTCTTTGTTCAATTTAAAATGCACATAAATATATATATATATATAGCTGTTAGGTGAGGTTGTGCTCTGGTTGAGGTTTAATGTGAAACACTGAAAAAGTGTGGTTTCACAAAGAAGCAATTCAGCAAGTTTTGGAAAGGCAGGCGCTGTTTGCAGTTGCAGGTAGTGGGGGGGGGGGGGGGGTGACAGGTGCTGGATGAATAAGTTATGATGGCACTGTCAAGGTGGAGAGGCTGCAGAGACTCGTAGAGGTCTGAGAAAGTTCCTCACCACTGGGGACAGCCAATGTTAACCACTGGCTGTTAATATTGATGGGAGGCATCTGCTGCTGTCTCAGAGAGGCACTCTGCAGACACACTGTACGGCAGGATGCCTCTGGGCAGAGGACAGACAAACACAGGCTGAGTCTGGTGCTGTGGCCCCTGGGCAGGACCACCACGCTCATCTGGGCTTTTACACGGAATCAGCATATTCTTTAATACAGATTGCCGGAAACTTTGAATGTGAATTTCTACATTTTACACACAGATAGACGATAGGATATGAATCTTCGTCCTGGTAAAGGCAACAACTGGCTTTCCCAAACTGTCAGATTATTATTTTAATTAAGGGGGAGCTGTGGCTTTCTTTGTCAGTGCAGACAGGATATATTCTGAGGCATGACAAAACTAACTTTTTGTAGAAAAACAGATGGGGAAACGGCAGGACTTTTTTGTAAAAATGCAAACACATGTTTAAAATGTGTGTTGGTTAGAATTGGGAGAACATTTCCTGAAGCCCAAAGTCTTGACATTGTGTTTTATGTGTGGTTTGAATACATTTCTGTGGGATTTTCTCTCATTATAGCCATATAACGATAGTTACGTCTGTAACTACGGTTCTATGAGTCCCGGTTGACCGCCAGATGAAACAATAATTTTGAACCTGGCTTTATCCAATGTTCATATTGTAATTACAAATTACAATATGCGCATATTTAATGAGATTATGGCTCATTTGCATGGGGGGGGGCGGTGCCCCTACAAATAGAATCAAATTAGGTGGGAAACACTGGATAATAATAATAATTATAACAAATTATTTTTTTTTTTTTTTTTTTTTTAATCATCTCGCGACCCCCACTTTGGGAACCCCTGCTCTAGAAGAAGGTCTCTAAACACTCCACAGTTAAGTCAGGAGTATAAAAGAAGTAGATAACTAAAGACATCATTAAGAGCAGATTCCTTGCATGTGTGGTTTATCATTAGAAACATTGGTCTCGTATTCTAAATACAGACTTTAAGGACTCTATTTGAAACTCATTCTTGATGCATCTGTTTATTATTTACATTTTGTTGTGGAGTAAAGGGAGGAAGAGTGATTAGAATAATTTCAGAGGGGATGGCTACAGGCTTACAAGTCCATGTCACAGCATCTCACTCCAACCTTAACCCTAAGTATAAGTGATGTGCTGTTCTGTGTGCTTCTGTACACGCATCAGACTGACAGATCTCTGAGAGTGGCGGCTTCACGCCTGCAGCCATATCCAGGGCTCTCACTCCACACTCAGCCCTGGGCCAGAACCCCCTCACCCAGCCTGACAACTCTGTTAACCTTCACCTCATACCAATTCAAATGTGGTACACACATTTTGATCCCAGTGTTCACTATTTCCCCAATCTTCAGATAATTTTTCCTGAAGACTTTTAGGGTGATCCCCAAAAACACAATTCACATAATATCGCCAATAATATCATCCTGCAGGAATGAGTCCTAAACCTGGAAATGAGTCAGCATTTATGCACTTCCGGACTCCTTTCTATTGTAGTTATTGTTTTTTAATGAATCTTTGGTTATATTGCCGAAATAAGGTTTTTACGTTTTGTTCTACAACATAAGAGATGCCAT